GTGTTACGCTATTGTACTTGTGTAGATATATCATTGATCTGTTACAATCGGCAGATTTATGAGTTAATACCCTGGAAATTGTCTCGATACTACTTGTGGCTGATGTGTCAACAGATGAATGGGCAATAGATGCGGAGGGAAAGCTAATTCAAATACCACTTTATATTCACCAGTTGTAAGTTCATACATGTTTTGCGCTTTGGAAATGGAGTTTGATGAAAGGCTTGATTAATGAATTCAACCTAGGTAATGTCATCTTCATCACCGAACTGCCCACTTTTATTTCATCATCTATGAAAACGTGTTTTACAAATCTGGACTACCAACAAACAGGTTTAATCTGTTAGTAACATATTTCTAATAATAATAGTCATTTGTGTATTATTATTGTCGATAGTTGCGCTGACAAAATTAATATCAGCAGTATGTGTACTTTCATGTGCCTGTGCCTGTTTGACATTAATCATATTTCTGTTCTTCATATTCAAACTACCAGTCATTACTCTTCTTCCATCGATTTTCAAATAATTGCTTGTTTTTTTGTATCAACATACCTTTTAGTTCTTCTATCTGTTGCACTTGTTGAGTCTTCTCCTAACGCATCGGAATTTTGGTTTTTTAAACCACAGTGACCTATGTCTAAACATCAATGGTACAATTTGAGATGCTTTATTTCTGTAAATCAAAGTAATTGGCCTAGAAATCAAGATTTATCCTTCACATCGCATACGCTTTACTCTCGTCGTTTTTGCATAATCAAGATTGCAAGACAATGGTTTCTGGACGACCTAGCACCTCGGAACAATGGCATCTACTCCGTGATCCTTGAAGCGAATTATTCACTACTGGCTGGAAATATTTGCCTCTCCCTAAGTTTTCTTCATCGTCGCTTGGACTACACAATTTGTACTGCTAACTACAACCTAGCGACTTTGTCGTGGACCCTGGATGCTTTATTTCCACCTGTTTTTACATCGAATTTTCTTTGCCTGTCATGCTTGCCACGCACCCAATATGCACACAGGAGGCCGAAACGTTCCAAGGCCCGTTGCCAATAACATATAGATTTAGCCAAGCCTAAAAGCGGAGCTCTTATTAGTTATTTTACAGTGAATAAAAACCGTAATAAAACTCTTCAGCACTGGCTGTAGAAGAGTTTCTTCAATGGATTGAAAGACCAGTTCGTGGGGTAGGGAGGTGGGGAAGAATTGACGAAGTCTGGAACCTGGGGACGACGTTCTTACAACTACACACATGCTTGTCAGCAGTATCTTCAGACAGCTTACGACCTTCGTCGTTGTTCTTGATGTTGTGACCAAATTCTCGAAGATTGGGATTGTTTTCTTCTTCAGATGAAGTGCATGACGTCAATATCAGTTGAAATTATATTCTATTGAGCGTGACTTATAATTTCGGTCTGGGAAAATGAGTCACAATTGAAAGAAACGACAGTAAACCACCTTGCGTTAAGACATTACTGGTGGATTGAGGTGTATACGTGCAATGAGCACAGTGAGTCAGTAAAACAATACACCAGAATCGTATGGGCTTCTCTTTTATCTTCTCTTGAATTTGCCAGGTATGACTGCCTACCCCAGCGTAGATCCCCAACGTCTCAACCTCCTCTGTTTAGCGTAGAAAAAAATTAAAAAAAAAAGTAGTTTTGAATTCCTGTTTGAACCTGTGTAGTTTTTTAAAACTTTTTCACTTTTGGTTACTTTTGTTTCATGTTTCATGTTTCATGATTGCCCACTGGCTGGAAACAAACGACGTCTTTTTGAGATTTTTTCTGTTATTTAATTCGATAACTTCTGCTGTAACTGCATGTAATGTGGGTGTCTCGAAGAAAACTTGAGCTAATGCCTGGATTTCATTTTTGCATCACAGAAATCAATTCCAAACATCAATCAAGTTTTCTCTTAAGTTTAGAAGTTGAGTTGATGTTGTTGTTGGCTATATTTAATGGGTTGAAAAGTTTTAGATGGTATTTTCTTATGTTTGAAAATAATTGAATTTACTGGGAGGCGGAGTTGTTGCAACATGTTAACATGAAATGCAACAGGACATTTTATTGATATGTAAAAGTTTTCATCTGACTTTCTACTGGCAAATCTTTGTATTTTATCTCAACCCAACCATTTCCTCAACATATAAACAATATTACATAGTAATTAGTCAGGGAAATGGAAAACTTGTGGCATATACACCATGTCTGAAATGCCATGACCATAGTAAGCTAACAGGATATAGGATGTATGTGGGAATACGCCCTCTTGTCTGTATCAATAATTTGCTAATCACTCCTGTTGGCAATGTTTTGACGAGGTTGGGAAAGGAAAAGGAACTGAGTAAACTATTAAGTTTAGTTAAGTTTAGTAAACTATTACTTTGAAAGCCATACTTGTGCTGGGTAACTCATTCTTATTCTGATAAACTAGTTTTGAGAAGGATACAATATTTCATAACAAAAACTCGATGCATAGGTTGTGCAAACACCTTTAGTTTGACTATACTGTTATGGCCAGTTCTAGTCCCTTCACATAGTAAAATGTTAGGAGGATCAGAGAAAAAATAATGTGCCTTACATCTGCAAAATTTGATGTAATTATTTTAATTACAAGAATATTAACTGATACTAGGAGATCTAATAATATGTTAAAAAAATAATAAAATCTGGTTGAAAAATTAGAATTCAGCATAGGCTGGATAAACAAGGTTCTTAGAAAAACAAATGTATACTATATAATGTATACTATAATGAAAAAGCTGAGCAAACGTTTTTAATAACACCTGCCTGTACCTGTATGGCATGTAGTAAAGTCTTTTGAAGTAGTCATAATCCCAGTTTCATATGTTGAAAACAAATGCACGTGCAGATTTCCTGTAAACCTATAGTTTAAGCCTGTGATGACTTCGAAATTTTGATGCACACCTCAAAAGGAAAAAATCAATTTCATGTTTCTATTTATTAAGTTTAGGTGTTAGTGAGGTAAAATTGAGTCAAACATTCAAGACGTACAATGACAGGTTCAAGAAATTTTCACGACTAATTTTTAAGGTTAGCCTACCTGGAACAATCATCTTGAACTGATGATGCCCAACAGAACTATCCGTGGTAAGAGGGCAGGCCTTCCTTTCTTCATTTAAAGAAATAATGATGTTATCATCTTTCCACAAGCTCAATGGAAAGTGAGAGTGAATGGGACTGATATTGTCTTTGTTACTTGAATAAATATCCAGAGCCAGGATAAAAAGTCAGACATGGTCTACAAAACTCTCATATTTTAATTTTTAACTAATTAAGCTAGAGCTTTACATTCTGGCTTTGTGATTAGGTGGATGCCAATTACTGTCAATTTAACTTTAATGCATCAAAATACAAAAAAATGTTCTCTTCATCTATGTGCCCTAAACATTACAGGGGAGGAGGCAGGTTAAATTAAAAACATGAATTAAAATAAGAGGGCCCTCATTAATTTCAGTCCTAATTAAAGGAGGATCCTTGTTTTTCCAGATTCCCACCCTTTTAAACTCATATATCTTGTGAACAGTTCCTTATTTCAATGTTCAGTTTAGGTAGGACCATCGGTAGGAAACACCATGCATTAATGAAAGCTTGAGCTAGTGTATTTAATGCAATCTAAATAATAATATTGCATGTTACAGTATGGTAACTTACACAGCAAAATTATATAATCGCACAACTCCAAACAAAGGAAGTCAAGTTATTGACTTGCCTGCGTCTTTTGAAGGCCTTAAGGTACAGAGAACAGACATGGTAAATTGCTACAATTAATACAAAGTTGAAAGTTTGAAAGCCAAAAGATATACATGACAATCATCAGACCCTATGCATCCTATCAAAAGAAGGGTCATTTACCACCATACCTTCTCCAAAATGATCATGCTTATAGGAAATCATTTATTTTTGTCTCTAGGTGGTACTGTATTTACAGTAGTTCTGCCCACACAAATGCATTTTTCTAAAGTTATCTCATAGTACATGACTGTACAGGTCAAGTAGAAGGTTCCTGCATGGGGACTAACACTTCAATTACCTCAGCAAACTGTAATCATCAGAATTGCAAGCCAAGGTGTATTTACCAAGTGCTCAAGTTTCCAAATTAGTTACATAGTTCTTTCAGTGGAGTTCAATCCCTTTTGAGGCTATCTTCAGCTTGATCATCCTGATACATGTGAAATCATCAAATGTTACTCACATATTCAAATAATTACCTGAATCAAGAGTTATAGTTTTTTTTAATAGCAGGTAATTTAGTGTTAACAACTGGGTTGAAAACGTAAATTAGCCACCGTAAAGGGTAAAAAAGCTGACGTTTCGAGCGTTAGCCCTTCGCCAGAGCGATTAGAGGAATTGTGGGTTGTGTGTGGATTTATATGTGGGAAGTGGAGCTACGCCATTGGTGGGAATGTGGTGACGAGAAAACAGGAATAAATTAGTTGAACGAAAAGCGCTCGTTGATTCCGTGGGGATTAAGGGTGCCGATTTGGAATATAAATTTTTGTTCTAGTGTTTTACGGCTTTCCGAACTGCCTAGATGTAAGGAAAGGCCGCAAACTGCCATATACTGTTTAGAATGATGAGGAAGATTAAAGTGTCTAGCGACTGGTAACTTTCTGACACCTCCTTTTATGCCAAAGTCGACAAAGACCTCACTGTAATTAACCAAAACATTGTCAAAAATACGATTAAAGATCTTATAGCTAAACAAGAATTGCCGGCCACTGCTAAAAATCTCATCATTACTACTCCTAGAACTTCATGTATTTACTTTTTACCTAAAATCCACAAACCTAACAACCCAGGTCGACCCATCGTTTCTGCCTGCAGTTGTCCCACTGAACTTATTTCCAGCTATTTAGACAAAATTATGGCACCTATCGTCAAAACTCTACCGTCTTACATTAAGGACAGCCAACACGCACTTGAAATTTTTCGTGACTTTAGTTTCCTCGACCAAAACAAACTTATTTTCACCATGAATATAACATCTCTTTACACTGTCATTCCCAATGACGAAGGTCTCCGGGCCCTCAAACATTTTTTTGATCTACGCACTGTTAAGGAACCTAGCTCTGAAACACTGCTCCGTCTGGCCGAACTAGTACTCACACTCAATTGTTTTTCATTCGGTGGTAACTACTACAAACAAACTAATGGCGTGGCCATGGGTACTAAAATGGGACCCAGCTACGCCAATCTTTTTGTAGGTTTCATCGAACACCATTTTTTTAGCCAATACCACGGCCCAAAACCTCAACTCTACGGCCGCTACATTGACGATTGCATCGGCGCTACCTCCTCTACCAAGGAGGAGCTCACTCAATTTATAACCGCCGTCAATTCCTTTCATCCGGCCCTTAAATATACCTGGCAAATTTCCGACACTTCTTTGGCTTTTCTAGACATCAAAATTTCTATTGAAGGCAACGGCTTATGTACTAGTGTTTACTACAAACCTACACATTCACATAGTTACTTGTTGTATTCATCCTCACATCCATCACACGTCAAGAACTCCATACCTTTTTCACAGTTTCTCAGACTTCGTCGTTTATGAAGTGACGACTCTGATTTTCCGAAGAATCAGAGGCAATGTGCCAGTTTTTCGATAAACGCGGCTATCCTGTTTCTGTCGTTCAAGCGGGCTACCACCGTGCCCAACTAATCGATCGACAGGCAGCACTACAAACGGCCGAGAAGGAGAACACTGACCGCATTCCATTTACTCTTACATTTCACCCTCACAACCACGCAGTTAAATCTATCATTCTTAAAAATTTTAAATTACTCCAAAACGATTCAGAGACTGGCACTATCTTTTCGCAACCCCCACTTATTTCATTCAAACGCGACAAAAACATAGGCAACTTTTTAGTCAGGAGTTCATTTCAAACCTATGACCAATCTGGAACTTTTAAATGCTCTCGCTCACGATGCAAAACTTGTCCTTTCATTCATAACGTAGAGAAAATATCGGGACCCAAAAGATCCATTAAGATCATTGATCACTTTACGTGTACCTCCGCCAATGTTATTTACTGCATAACTTGCACTTATTGCAATAAGTTATGCATCGGCGAAACAGGGAGACGACTGGGTGACCGATTCCGAGAACACCTTCGCGATGTGGAAAGAAATGACAAGGACGCATCCAAACCAGTCGCTAGACACTTTAATCTTCCTCATCATTCTAAACAGCATATGGCAGTTTGCGGCCTTTCCTTACATCTAGGCAGTTCGGAAAGCCGTAAAACACTAGAACAAAAATTTATATTCCAAATCGGCACCCTTAATCCCCATGGAATCAACGAGCGCTTTTCATTCAACTAATTTATTCCTGTTTTCTCGTCACCACATTCCCACCAATGGCGTAGCTCCACTTCCTACATATAAATCCACACACAACCCACAATTCCTCTAATCGCTCTGACGAAGGGCTAACGCTCGAAACGTCAGCTTTTTTACCCTTTACGGTGGCTAATTAACGTTTCCAACCCAGTTGTTAACACTAAAATAACCTGCTATACTCTCCCACCGACGCAGCACCACAGTTTCTTTAGAAACTTACCCCTTTATTCGTTTTTTTTAATAACCTGCTATCTTTAATTGTGCTCTAGGAATAGTAGATGGTATTGAAGGGAAAGGAAAAGAGTTCTTGAAACATTCCATGTTAAATGAAACTTTGTCATTAATGTTAATTGTGATTGCAACAAATACATCCGTAAAGCTATAACAATTACCTTTCCAGGTAAACAAACCATAATGAAGCATGATATGAATAAATTTAATCTCAACCAGTTTGAATGTAGAATCCAAAATCTAATTAACTTACTGGTGAATAGGAAAAAGCTCAATGTGTTTTTTCCTGCCTCTGTCATTCTAAATATCACAAATCAATCATACCACCACTTCAGTGTTTTGTGACACAAACTATTTCCTGAAGCTCGATGGGGTTGCTATTGTGCGAGCCTGCGAGCCTGAACCTTTTTCAACGAGCCGGAGCCATTTTTTTGCGAGCCCCGAAAGTTCCCGCCAAAAATATCCAAATATGGACATAATGCCTTTTTATGGTCTTAACTACATGCGGTTTACATGTGTTCTGCAAAGTACAAACATGGCGGAATATTCTCACCTGGATGGTAAGTTTTCTTTTCATTTAATTTGTTCCACTTAGTGGTTTGTTTTTTATTAAAATTACGCAGATGTTTTATTACTAATACTTTTTACACATTTTGCTTTGAAAACGACAACAAGGTGAGTTTTTGTCTGACTTGTGATGAATTGTGATTTATTTCGATCCTTCCCGTTCTTTGCCTCACTTAGTGCGGCAGTTATTATTAACCTTCACACGATTAGTTGGAAACAAAAATGAAATAGTGGCATGCCAAGTATCCTCTTACAGTCTGGTTTCGTTGCCGCTCAATTAAATCACTTCTGGAGAAATAAAAAGTTCAGAAGTTTTTAAAGTTTTCTTTAGTACGAGATAGTGGTCTTGTGGTGCATTATACAGTCCTGACTTTTAAAAGAGGCAGTTTCGCGCTGTTTTACAGAGATACCTTCGGAGATTATAAGCTTACTTGTGTACATTCAAAAGGAACTGAGTCTTACACTCCATCCGGAATTCAAGCAAACTTTCAATTGTTGAACCGATCGCGATTGTAGTACGAATGCGATAATAATATGCGTCAAAACATTTTTATTTTTGATGAAAAAATCTCTGTGAACAACAAAAATTAAAACAGCCTACATTTTCAAAAAAATCAAAACAAATGCCCATCCAGAGAGACTTTTATTCTTATTACACTCTAAAATTTACAGACTGAATCCTTTTGGGAGTGCGGAAAGTGCACACTCATAAATGTAGAATCATCTGATGTTTGCATTGTTTGTGGGTCATCAAAGCCGCATAATGCACCCATTAAGATTGATATCAGTGACTTGCCACGAAGTCCACACAAAAAGAGGACACGAAGGTATATGTGACAAATGATTTCAATATAGTTAATTCTAGTTAGTTTTCAGTGCTCAAAATATATTTGAGGTAATGAAACCTCTTTTGGGAAATTTGTGACAGTCATGCTCCAGCATATCTTATGTTTCCTCCACTATAGAAACGAAGATTCCGAGCCAATTTCTTCAGAAATCATAAATCTTTCATTCGAAATGTCTTTTGAGGAACCTAGTACATCATTGATGTACATTTCTAGGTAAGTAATAACGCTTCATATGTCTGTAAAGTTAAGCTAGTTCATAGTTCAATTATCAGCTAAATCATTTAGCTTCAGGATTCTAGAATCTTTTGCTTACATGTCAAACTGATGATAATAATAATTATTAGAACAAAATACTTAAATTATTTGCTGTGAGGATAATGCAAAATTGATGCAATGTGTGTGGCAGACCCATACAGAACAAGGTAAAATAAGTGTCAGTTGTGTCATAATTTTAGGACTTATTCTATTTGCCTGAAATATTTGGTACTCATCATCTTTTTCACAAACAAATTGTTTTCCCTTTGATTCACACATCTTACATATGGATCACAGGAGACTTAGTTACTGATTTGGAATTTTTTTTTACAGTACTCTTTTTGAAAGGTTGAGTAAGGGAGAAATTGGAGGGAACCAATATAGTAAGGCTGAGTGATGTCCTTGGTTAACTTGTTTGCATTTCTGGCCCAGTTTGATGTCATTTTAATATTTGACTTCATTAACATAAAATTTACACAGAAATGACCCAATGCTCAACAGTAGTCAACTTTAAAAAAGTTGAAAGAGCACTTAAATTAAATATAGCTCCATGCATATGATATTAAATTCCTTCTAGAAATTTCAGCCATCAGAACAAAAAGGAAAAACTCTGTGTTCCACAAGTGTTATTATTTCTGGTAAAATTTAAACTTTTTTACAATACATACTGGTATTATTGAGCATAGCTACAACATTTGCTAATATTGATATGAGTCTGCAATCAATGCCTTGCCTCCTAGGTCTTCAGCGCTACACGAAAAATTTCTGGGAAAAGACGCCAGTTGTTAAAGTCGACAGCCTCCCCTTTGACATAAACGGAGAAGCTATTTATCAAGTCCCTTACCAGAAGGAAAAGAGGAGGAAGGCTGTTACTGATGGGCGTCCTTGGGATAGGGACATGCCAAGGACGGCAAGAAGGAGCGGGAAAGGGCTCAGTACGCGCTCAGTGCTCTAAAAGATCCTACGAGTGCGAAAATCCAAAATGTTCCTTCAAGCAGCAACATGGCAAAGCCGATAAATCCAGTTTGGGAAAAACAGGAATGGCGACGTGGTGTGTAAAGGTTGTGGAAGATGCTCTAACTTTGTTTCTTGTTTAGCTCGAAAGTACATGGAATTCCTGCCCCACGTAGGTGAGGTTCGTGTCTACCAAGTTGGTACGCATACTTGCCAAGAGAAAAGAAAAGTTCCCCTTCCCTCCTTGTGGAACAGTCTCTTCGTAGGAAGAACTTCGACGTAGGTCAAGAACTTAGCATCATCATGCAGAAAAAATTGATGATAGCCAATTGTTGAGAGTGGTAAGTAGTAACAGATGGGATGCAGATGGAAAGACCATTTATGATCTCAGTAGAGTACGATATGATGAAGCTGTAGCCTTAGGGTAGATGAAAGACAACTGACAAGAAAATAGATATGGACAATCTGCTACTCCAAACATTACAAAGCAGGCTATTAATGCTAGATTATGGCAGCAGTGATAACAGTGATAAGTATGTTGTTGACAAGAAATATGTTGTCAGCAAAACCTTTATTTTAGACGCATCAAAAGGTCTTAATATGAAAGGCAATAAGATGAATAAAGTAGCAGACCCAACAAGTGCAACAAATGGAAACAATAAAAGGCATGTAATAAAAAACTGATGGTACAAGAGTAATATCTGGTAATTCGAATATGAAAAGTAGAAGTATAATTAATGTCAAACAGGCACAGGCACAGGCACATAACTATCAGAACTATGAGAAGTATGTTAATAACAGATTAAATCTGTCTGTTGGTGGTGCAGATTTGTAAAACACATTTTCATATATTATGAATAACAGTGGGCAGTTCAGTAATGAAGATGACATTGCAAGGGTTAAATTCATTAATCAAGACTTTCATCAGTTGAATAAAAAAGCCTTTAGTATTTAAGGAAAGGTCAGGTGGGGCTTATGCACAGGATTTAGTCATTCGCGTCATAGTTTATGGCATCTTGGGATATCATAACGATGTTGTACTTAGTGTGTGGGATAGAAAGTTTGAAAAACTAATGACACTCAGAATAGATATTAGGTCTGATGGAAAGACTGCATTGGCTACTGATCTCATTACGGTTAATAGTAAAATAATCCATTTAGCCACGCCAATTGATGCCAATGATGCTCTAAATAAATCATAGGTGGACACACGAACAGAAAATTTATAGAAAACTGATTGAACAAAAACCAATGTACGCTGATTTTAATAAGTCCAATCAAGAAAACTCAATTTAGCGACACCAACAAATGGTAATGATGCTGCAAATAAATCACATGTGAATGGTGTTAAACA